CTGTGCTTTAACCCGCTGCACCACCAGGGAGGGCCTATGGTATATCTATTTTTAATATTTTGAGAAACCTGCATACTGTTTCTCATAGGGACTGGGCCAGTCCACATTCTGATGGCAGTGTATAAAGGATGCTTTTTTTTTTTTACACCCTCACTAGCTAGCACTTGTTTTTCTGTTATTTTTTGAAAAGACTGTTTTTCAGGGGTTGGAGATAATGTTTCATTGTGGTTTTGAGTTACATTTCCCTGATGATCGTTGATGAGGAGAATTTTTACATGTACCTTTTGGCTATCTTCATGTCTTTAGAGAAGTGTTTAGCTTTTTTCTCATTATTGTTTGATTGGGTTGTTTTCTTGCTGAGTTGTATGAGTTCTTTGTAGATCTTCAATATTAACCCCTTGTTAGATATGTAATGTGCGAATATTTACTCCTACTTGAGAGGATGGAATGAAGTATTATGTGAGAAATCATTTGTAAACTGTAACTATGTAAAAGCTCGAGGTGTTAATCTTATTTTAAATGAAGTTCATTTTTTCTACCATAAAACTGTATATTTCATAGAAAATTTATTTAAAAAGAAGAGAAATAATATCATTATTTGTTCTTTATACATGTAGGAATAAGCCATTAGTTCTCATTTAGCAACATTTCTTTTTTTTTTTTTTTAAAGCTTTTATTTAGTCATACAGAACTGGGGTACAGGCCAGAGGTACAGGGGTGGTAAGAGGCTTCACCGGGGAGCAGAACAGGCAGATCGATGAAATACACTTCTGAGGGGAGAAGCAGGCAGGTCAGGAGAGGTCTGCCAGGCCATGTGGGTCACCTCTGGGGTGGGGGATCGAACTCACACTGAGGTGGCAGGAGCTAGCTTGCAATGCTAGACCTTAACCCACTGTGCCACCAGGGTGGGCCCCATTTCTGTTTCTTAAACAAAAATTGGAAACATTTAGTAGTCACAGATTATATAAGGGGGTCTTTATAAAGTATCTGTCACTTGATGTATTTCCTCCCTCTCCTCAGTTATAAGCACCCAGTAATTCAGGCTCTTTAAAGATGTAGAAAACAGTCAGTATTTAGACACTATAAATGATCATTACATAGCCCTTTTTAGGATGACTTTTTGAGAAAGTCAGTCCCTACACCTTTTTTAAAAAACAAATTTTTGCTATATTTTTCTGATATTTTCTGTGGGCATATGATATGTTTTACATTAGAATGAGTAAATACTGAATAACTGAAAATTTATTATTGCATGAAAACATGTAAGTTTCACGTGTGCATCATTGTAAGTCAATGTCTGCATATACTCCATTGAACTTCTTTAGTATTTCCTAACAGGGCGTATGGTAAGAATGGGGTGGGCTGACCCTGAAGTTATTCCTGGGCCAAAAGGGCATCTATATGACCAGAAGATTTGTATGCATCAGCAGTATGTTGTTGTAGTTATAAATGCTAATACAGAGTCTGACTTCACCAATGAAAGAACAGAGTATTGTGCTTTATGCAACTAGATACCATCCAGCGTATGTATTCACTTTGGAGGACTGAGTTTTAAGCTGGATAGTCACAGTGTAGATGGCGTCTGGGACAGTAACAGGTTGGGACAGCCTGTCATTTATTAAAACAGTTGAAAGACTTCATGCTTTGCTTAGGAGGCCCAAGATGGCCGAAGAGACTCACATATGAAAGAGGGAGGAAACTCCTTCCTCTAAACGAAAAAACTACAATGAGATGGAGGTTCTTTTTGTTGAATATGAGAGAGAGTTATTACCCCCTCTTTTCTTATCTACGTGAACTCATTGGGATTGTCTTGTAATGGCATAGAGTTTAGGAAGGAGTAAGTTTCTTGTCATTGAAGGATTAAAGCTGAGGTTGGGTGGATCCCAGCTAGTTAAAACTTTAAAATGCATCCCTTCATTGGGTTTATTCATTCATTTTCTCTCTTGCTTGCTCATTTACTGTTTATTAAGCCCTTCTTATGTGTCAGGCATAGTGCCCAGTGTAAGGAGACAGAAATCGGTATAGTGGGCAAGAAACTGGATTAAACGACTTCAGAGATCCTGTTATACTTGTGGTTGAAAGAAACTGCTTAATGCTTGAGTTTCCATTGACTGAATACGAGGGGAACTCTAGCTTGTTTATTACTCTCTTTTCAACACTCCAGTGTGTAATTATTACATTTCTTGTTTAATGTAAAGGAACACTTCATATCACTTTGAAACTCTCACTCATGTACCTGATAGTATTTTATTTCTTTCTCTGGGAACATAGAGGTTAAAGTTGAATGTGGAGTCAGTTTTTGATGGAATAATGTTGATTTTTCATGACAAACATTTAACTCCAGTCCAATTCATATATGTTTTTAAAGATTTAACATTGATCAGATGGTATTATGAGAGAACACAATGCTTAGGAACTGTAAGGTGATACTATTTATTAATTTTTTTTGGCAATTCATTGTACCTAAAGCATATATGGAAGAGTCAGGTTCTAAAGTTTCATTTGTTTTTTTTTTTTCCTGAGAAGAGTTATCGTTTGTGTATACTGAGATATTCAATATCCAACTTCAATAATTGTAGATTGACCACGTATCTGGATTAATTGTATTCCTGCCTGTGGGGATCAGATAGTACCAAGAGAAGTAGAAGGGCCAAGTACAAAGTGTGTAGATTTGGAGATAATATTGTGTTCTCTGTACATTTTGGCCCATCAAGTTAGGCCAGCTGTTCATTTGTTTCACGTCTAGGTTTGGAATTCACCCAGTTGCAGGCCGGATGCCTGGTCAGCTTAATGTGCTGCTGGCTGAGGCCGGAGTGCCATATGATATTGTGCTGGAAATGGACGAGATCAACCATGATTTCCCAGGTAAGTGTTGGGGGTGATAGTGAAATTTAATATCCTTCAGACGAATAAAGCAATGTCCATCTTAGGACATAAATTGTGGGATTGCTGAAGATCTACCAGTCAGATGAAGAGTAGCCTGTTCCTAGTCAAGAGGCAGGGAAGTTAAATAAATATGATACTGACCTAAATAAGATGCAGCAGGTTGGTAAGCAAGTGGGTAATTTTAATCCTGTGAGGAGATCTGAAGGATTCTGCCATGGAGCAGGTACAACAGACTCTTCTCAGATCAGGCTTGGACTCAGGTACAGACTCCCACTTGAGTGTGGCCTTGACTAAGTACTCAGCCTTAGGCTCCTTTACTTATAAAAGCACTTATTGCTTCTATCTGGTTCTGGCCAGTGTCTTGTGTTTGTACCAATTCTATAACCAGTAAAGGAGCTTTGTTCTTTCTTAGAAGTTCTAGGGTAGGACTTTACTAGATAAGGTGCTGTGTTCTATGGCTGTCACGGGGTAGATATTCAATGCTAATGGCATTTGGCCCAAGATCATGTTTGTTAAAATTAAACCAGTTCTCTCTGGCAAGTATCCACTGTAAACTTAGAAAATACTGTTTATTAGAGAAAAATAATGAAGTCGTGTGTATGTCTAGATTCACATGGCATTTTTGGCAAAGTTCTAAAGACAGTTTATATTATAGTCCTTAAGGAGAGAATTTAGGCATTTTAATTTTATACCCCTTTCACATTTCACTGTTGCTAAATTATGTGTGAAATCTGCCAGTTCTGGGAATTATGGACATAGCTTTAATACAATACAGGCTTAGACCATTTTCTTTTAGACATTAAATTGCATCTTAACTGTTAATTTTAAAAATTGAAAGTGTGGTATACATCTTGTAATTTTGGGATAATTAAATAACTGTAAAAATCAGATAAGGTAGATCTGTTGGCTGGGGGCTGGTTGAGAAACATAATAATGCCAGCCTGCTCTTGTAGGAAGCTGAGGATCAGATGTCGGACCTGTTGGTTTTTAGCTGTGTGTCATTGACTAAGTTACTGAACCTCCCTGATAAAGCATCTCGTACAGTGCATGCACATATGTGGGCCCTATGCATAGTAACTTTTGTTATTGTCATTATAAATTCAGATAACTCTCATGTGCTTGTAAAGAAGCAAAAGTGACCGCTTAGAGTTTTATATTTCCTCTTTTTTCTTACATCATCTAGACACTGATTTGGTCCTTGTCATTGGAGCTAATGACACAGTTAATTCAGCAGCACAAGAAGACCCTAATTCTATTATTGCAGGCATGCCAGTCCTGGAGGTTTGGAAATCAAAGCAGGTAAACTTTTAGATTTGTGTTTCATTCTAAGAATCATAAATCTTTTTAAAATACACAGAGCCATTCTTGGTCACTAGATGAGAAATGGGGAGGCCCAGGAGTTAGGGGACATTAGGACTAGGTTCTTTGTCTATCTTTTGTTTGTGATCACCAGAGGCCTTGGATGGCTTGCTCACAAGTAGAACTAGATGAGGTTCTATGTATAGATGAACAAAATCTGTAACCACAGCTGAAAAAGGAGCTTTGAGCTTTTGGAATGAGTCTGGCTGAATTCCAAATTGAGTCCAGTAAAGCAGATGGCTTCCCTCTGGGACAGTGAGTCAGTATCACTGCTTTTATATATGAAGACGAGCACATTTTTTGGAAAGGAATTTGTATGTTGTTATGGGGTGTCTAAAAGAAAGGTGATTTAGAAATCTAAATAACAACATGGCATGAGGAAGCAGGCTCTGCTCCTGCATTGTGCTTCTGAAAAAGCTAATTGCTAGATTGCAGAGATCTCAAAAGGTTGTAATTTTTTTCTCCCCCCTAGAGTGGGCACTTCTGGCTTACCTCTTCCAAGTCCTAAGTGCACTTTAAGAATTGTGCTAATACAGTTATAATTCCCTTTAACTTTGTTTCTCTTTATTGTAAATACATGAGTTGAAACTTGGTCTCTGTGGTGACTGGGGTATCACATGTACTTGTACACTGGGCATGAAAAATAGGTGCATCCATTGTCAGTACTGGAGTGTTTACAAGCACATCTCTGAGCCAGGGCTAAGTGAATGACTTGCGCTGTTTACATCTGTGGTTGAGTTACACGTCACCCAACAAAGGCTTTTCACCTTGTTAAGAGCTGACTTGCCATTCAACAGGACACTATCATCCATATCACATATGACTGTAAGTGTTAGATATTTGTAATACCTGATATTGACAATTTAGAGATGGACTTACCCCTTCCATTTTGCTTTATAGGATCATGATATTGGCTATTGGCTCTGTCCTGTGACCAGCTAGATTTTTGTGTTGGGCTTTGTCTTAACTTTCTGGTCTATTTTATTTTGAAGTGATGACATAGAAATCACACCATTTCCCCACTGCTCTACAGTTATACATTTATCTTAGGATTGAGAGTGGATCTTAGGCACTGTTTTTTTTTTTTAGCACATTCATAGGAAAATGCTTATAATGTCTCGCTAGAAATGTTGTACATAGTCTTCATAGGGAAAAACACCAAGAAGAAAATTACTTCTAATTTTACCTATCTATAAATTGTTTGCATGACTTTTTCTAAAATGGGTATAAGAATATAGGCACATTCTAAAAATTAAAGTTAACTCAGTGTACACATGCATTTCAAAATGCTCAGTGTACTTTTATAAAGTCTGTGGGCTAAAGAAGGAGTGGTCCTTCCCTATGTAAGTAGGACATGGCACTATTTGTGTGCCCGACAGGCAATGCCAGCTTCTGTTCAATGCACTGCCAGGTTCTGTTCAACGCGCTCTTTTCTGGTGTTTGGCTCCCAGGTTATCGTTATGAAGAGGTCCTTGGGCGTTGGCTACGCTGCAGTGGACAATCCAATCTTTTACAAACCTAACACGGCCATGTTGCTAGGAGACGCGAAGAAGACATGTGACGCCCTGCAGGCCAAAGTGAGAGAATCCTACCAGAAGTAAAGGGGAAAGACCCCACTGTTCTCTACCACAGCTGCCTATTCACTGGTGGGAACTGGCAACTCAAATATTGGTATCTACAGCTAATGCACATCCGTAGCAAAACTCTTGAAGTAAAGGAAGACTCTGAAGAAAGCAAAGCAAACACAGGGAGATTTATCTAATGCAGTGATCTCTCAGTTTAAAAAAAGGGATTGAAAAATCTAAATTGTTTTCCATGCATATTTTTTTGCGTGTGTTATAAATGAAATATATTTTATGAAAGGAGAAAGAACAACATCATTTTAGATGTAATCTGTTTGGATTTTTAAAAAAATTCCTCCTTCTCAAATAGCAATGTTTTGAGAAATTGAGTGGGCAAAAGGGAATAAATGCATCTGAAAAATCTGACACAGTGTAAATTTTACATGCATCAGCAGGTGTGTTTTTTTACATGTGACAATTTGAAACGCTCATCAACTCCTCAGCTGTCTTCCTACCATTATTGAACCACAATCTGAATGAAATATATCAAGTTGGTTTCAGTTTTTAAAACTTCAGATTCTAGATTTCAAAGATTATTTTCATAACCATTAGTGTAATTTTAATATCTTAAAGGACTAGATAATCCTTCAGGGATGCTGGAAACAAATCATTTGCTTTGTGTGTCTCATTAGGACACCAAGGAAAATATAATTTGAAATCTGTATCAACTGTACTTTAAAAACCCCATACCCAGAGGTTTCTAAATTTCAATCTATTTTTTGATACAATTTATAGTACTATATTAAATGCACTTGAATGAAATTCAACTATGATTAATAAAATGAGTTCATGTTTGCATAGTGATACAGCAGTTGCATTTGGTAAAAAGGCTAAAATGGGATAATTTGGCCTGTTATTAACAACTGGGGAAGACTTGCTACTATGAAATTAATTGTTTGCAATAATGTTTTTTTCTCTCAAATCAGAGTATGTTTTGAGATCTTATGTAATTGATGATTGGTGAGCAGTGGTGGCACTTTTTATTTCTTAGCTACCTCTTTGTTATCCACACACCAGTAAAGATTGTTTTTTTGCAGTAACTGTGTAGATTTTCTTTGTGCGTTGCTACTTTGTCTAAAGCATCTATGTAGGTTGAGTGTGTGATGAGTACTTTGTTGAATGTCTGATGAATGCTTTGAATCTGTCTCTTTATATATTTAACTTGGCACTAAGTTTCTGAAGTAATTGGAAGTAATTATCAACACCTAGAATCTACCCCTGTTTACTGAGTTTATAATTAATAGTATTTGTTGGTATGGTAATTAATTTCTGCTTTGCTGTGCCTAAGATTAAGGTAGGGGTGTGTGTATGTGTGTGTTAAGGAAGAAAAGAGGTGTGTGTTAAGGAAGAAAAGAATCCTTAAAAAAATTTTTTTTATTTAGGTATAAATGCAATTTAAGTTTAGTTCAGTGGGAGCCTCGAGATTGAATTATGTCATATAAGTTCTGGCCCTCCCTGGTGGCACAGCGGGTTAAAGCACTGCACTGAGAAGCTTAAGCCACTTCCGCATGAGTTCGATTCCCGCCTGCCCCGGGAGGAGTCCACATGGCATGGCAGACCTCTCCTGACCCGCCCGCTGCTCCCCTCAGCAGTGTGCTTTGTTGATCTGCCTGTTCTGCTCCCCACTCTGTCTCTGGTGAATCCTCTCACCCTCTGCATCTCTGGCCTGTACCCCAGTTCTATATGAATAAATAAATCTTAAAAAAAAAAAGTTCTCTCGGAAGAACTCTCCCTTTTCTTTTTCTCAAAGTGATTATAGGTTTACTTGGAAGACAGCAGCTTGACTTTTTTTGAGATAATTCAAGAATTCAATTTAAACTAAAAACCATTATACTTGGATTTATTAATTTTTCATCATTTATAGTAAATTTTTCCTATATTTAAAAAAATAGGTCTTTTTCAATATCTGCTAATCCTTTCTTATCAGTTGTTAATTGAATTGAAAATTCATGCTCCAGTTGTTTTTATTTGACTTAAGGGATTTTGGGTGCACAGTTTCTGATATTAATATGTCAAACAGTTGGCAGTGGTTTTAGATTATTCATCATGGTAAAGTCTAAAAGCAAAACTAGCTTAACAAATCTTTTTATTATTCTTCCTTGTCTAATTTTCAAGTGATATACTTAGTTGATTTTGTTTTTTAAGAAAGTGGCTTTTTTAAAAAGATTTATTTATTTCTGCATAGAGAACTGGGGTACAGGCCAGGGTGCAGGGGTGGTGAGAGGATTCACCAGAGACAGAGTGGGGAGCAGAACAGGAAGATCAAGAGATCTACGAAGTGCATTGCTGAGGGGAGCAGCGGGTGGGACAGGAGAGGTCTGTTGCATTCTGCAGATACTCCAGGGCTGGGATTGAACTCTCACTGATGCGGCTGTGGTGAGCTTCAGTGCTACGTTCTAACCCACTGCACCACCAGGGAGGGCTGATAGGACTTATTTTTATTCTTAAATTATTCACTCTGTCTTTTTGATATTCAAGTATAAATAAAAAAAATTTGTTGTAACCTACATTCTGGTACCAAACAAAAGAGCTTATACCTAGGGAGTTGATAGGTCTTTTAGGCAGCCACGTAAGTAAATATATAACTTTTATAAATTTTATCTGTGTTTCTATCTGTCAGACTGTCTACTGATCTGTCACTTTGGACAGTTTTCTGTATAATTGTTTATACTGTTCCAGGGATTGCAATAGAGAAAACTAATAGACAGGACTAATCTCTTAATGCAGTGGCTTTTGGGCATTTTACTGAGTCAAAGTGTATCAGTTAAATATTTGATAATGAATATGGAAAGTGGACCTTTCTGATTCCATCTAAACCATGATGCTAACTTTTAGATTTTGCTCTATTTTCTCATCCAACACAATGTGGGATACATTATGTATCAGTCAGCTTTAGGGTTTAGTTCAATTTATCTCATCCCAAAGCTTCATTTTGCATAATTAATAACTCATAACCCATAAGTTCATCTAATTTAGAGGCATAAATTTCTAGTCCCCTAAGGCAAAAGTCTTATAAATTAAAGCATTTGGTATTGGAAAGTTGGATAGCTCTTTTGTATAGTGAGGGAGAATAGTTCAGATATCTAATTTATAGCTCTTGCCAGTTTTTGAGAGTCTTTGCCAATGAATATTATTGGGTCAGAATAATAATAAAAAGAATAAACCAAAACTCTTCACTTCAGTGGCAGCAACTTGCATAATCCAGCTGCTCTTTAGATTCTTAAAGGAAAGAAGAATTAGGTCAATTAACAAGGAAGAAATAAAAACTTTTCAAAATGAAGCAAAGTGTTGTTTAATAAGGCAACAGAAATGGTCAAATTTAAATTTTGAAGCACTCAGTTATTACTTTTAAAACTATCTCTTAGAACTTACATGTTGGATTAAGGAATTGAACTGTTTTCTAAGTGATTATAGACATTGAATATGGTGTATACTGTAATTTTGGTGAAAATCTTTTGGATGCTGATAAAATGATGATCCAGATGATGAGACAGTAATGAGGGTCACCAGTATTTGAAACGTTCGCATGTAATTGTTAAAATTGTAGTCAGAAGAAATACTTTTATTATAGCAGATAATTTGGGGGAAGATTGAAAATTGTATTGTGTAGGTAATGTCAGTTTCTGATTGTAGGCGACATTGAAAGCTTGAACCCTAAATAGTGGGGAGATCTCTCATGCTGTCAAAATTATAATCACTTTGTTCTGTAGAAAATATTTATGCTCGATAGTTTTGTTAGAGATTACAGTCTTTTTCAGTTCTTTCCAAAAGCCTGTCTGTGAAGAATAATACCAAAGGAAAGATTGCCTCAAGGATAAGGAACCCCATTTGCCTCCAATATTTCATATTTTTGCCCTGGAGCAGACCTGACCTCTGGAGAACTGGATGATTGACCTGTATTGTTTGGGGTCATCATGAATAACAAAGATATGGGGGTGCTAGAGTGGAGATAGGAGTTGTGAACCCCCTCACCTGAGGTGCCTACAGTGGGCTGGAAGTATCCAGGAAACCTGTAAAATGGCAGGAGTTGAAGCCGTGGTCCTGGGCTTTGAGGAGGAGTGAAGGTTATGCAGGTGACACATGGGGACACACTGCTTGTTCCCACCCACAATGAAAGTGAAAAGCCACATGAGGACTCAGCAGTAGGTGGAGGTGCTCCCATTTTCCTTATTATATCCCTGTAAATGGAGACCTAATATTTTCTCATCTTCCTTTGCGTTGCATTTGGGAAGAGGAAAAAGCAGCAGCAGTGGTAAGTATGCAGGGATTGTAAAACCCATGGGCAGCGACTATGTAGAACTTGAAATAAGGCACTTTTATCTCCTACTTTGTTTTTGGTTTCCTCTAGGAAAATCAGTACCTGAAAAGTTCTGTAACATGATGTAGAACTAGAGTTAGGCTGTGGACTTTTATCTGAACCAGCTCTTTCCTGGAACTGATTTAACAGAAGCTAGTGAGTTGTTTTTGTTTTTTTTAAATTTTCCTTTCTTCCAATCAGGGAGTATACTTTCTGTAGGAATACAGAAATAGTAGGGAATTGTACCTATCTAATTCTAACCAAATCTTGCAATTTTAGTGCCCTACTATACACAGAGAAGCTGTTTCCTTGTAGAGTTAGAGCTGAAATGTCAGGCCTAAAAATCCAGAACAACAGGAACAAGGGTGATTATACCCCTTTGCATTTACTGTGTCAGGAGGGAGATGATGTCTTTCCCAGAATTATAAAATAAAATGTCATGACTTTAGAATGTTTTGTCACTGCTCTATGAGTTTACTGGAACAATATCCTTAAATCACTCTAATACAGGCTTTTAAAAACTCTCAGGGCTTTACTGATGCAAAACTTTGTTCTTGGGAACTATAGCAGTCATTAGCTGGACATATCACGTCCTCATGTCTGATTGGGGATAACTGCTTCATTAGTGTCAGCTTTAATTATAGTAACTTAGAAACTTGGTCTTATAAAGATTAGAATCATCACTGCAAATGAGACTAATAGAACTTTCACAGACTATAGAAAACCTTAACAAGGATCCTGTATGGGTAAAAATTCCACTGTCTTCATACTGGCTTTGTCCTTGATGTAATGAATCTTTTTTTGTAAAAGTATTTATTTATGCATATAGAACTGGGGTGACTTTGGTGGGGAACCCACAGAGTGGTTGGGTAATAACATCACTATGAAAGGCATTGTTGTTTTCTACACAATGAATCTGGTTTGGTCATGCTTAATTTCTAGCGTGCACCAGCTTTTGATAAACGTGAAACCATTTTAATATAGTATCATGCTGGGTAGAAGGAATGGGGAAATGTGTTTATACATTTATGTGTTTCACACTGACTTCTGCTCAGGATTCAGTGGAAGTTTATCTTAGCTTTGAAAAAATTCTATGTGAAAAAACACTGCTCCTGTTTCCATTTCCTTCAAGGTATAATGAACATATGCTGTTGTTATTTCAAGCTTATGACATAATGATTAGATACTTGCATCCATTACAAAATGACCATCAGGTTAATATTTTATTCTCATAAATAATTACATTTTTTTCCTTGTGATGAGAAATTTTAAGACCACTTTGCCAACCACTTTCAAAATAACAGGCTGAAAGTTTAACTTCATAGAGAAAACAAGGACCTGCTGTTTTACAAAGCACCTTAAAGGTGCTACTTAGCCAGTCACAAATTTCCTTTCATCCATTCTTGTTCAGCAGCTGCTGCATTTTTTGCATAAACACAAAACCTGTATCATTTTTTTATTTTATTATATATGTATGTTTTATGTCATTCTTCATTTTGTGCAGTTTTTCACCTCAGTTGTAATCCCTTTGGACTTCCCACCACCACTTCACTCATGTGCCATCCCATAGTCCCGTGTGTTGTTTTGATTCTATTCCCTGTAGAATGTCTCTGGTTTATAGTTGCTTGTTGATTTTCATTTTTACTTTATTATAATTGCTTCACTTGCCCTGATCTCTTATATTCCTGATATGAGTGAAACCATCCAGTATTTTTCTTTTTTTTTTTTTTG